AAACATATAATCAAAAAATATATTTTTCCAGGTAAAGAAAAATAATCACTTTTTTTTCTTCAATCATTCGGCCCTAGCAGTGTTATTTTAGTATCATTAAGATACTACTATAATTTTTAATAGTTTGAGTTATTTATTTATTTTTATTCATTACAAAATTATTCAAGGTTTTATTTTATAAGGTTTTATAAGGTTTGTTAGGTTTTAATTTCAATTTTTTTATTTTTATTCATTACAAAATTACTCAAATTAAAAATTAAAATGAAAACTGACTAAACTAACTCAAAATTAGAGGTCGACCGATATGGGTTTTTCACCGGCTGATGCCGATGCCGATATTTAGAAATCAGGGCAGCCGATGGCCGATATATGATGCCGATTTTTTTTGGCCAATATGTTTGGCCGATTTTCTTTTTTTTTTTCATTCATCTCATAAAAGTGAGTTTGAACAAATGATTATTGCAGGGTATAAGATAGTAATGGTAGTAGTAGCAGCCCAATTCAGAGTAATAATACATGGCTCAAAACTTAAGCACCTTCTCAAAACAGTTCTGAAGGATGCTTTTTGTTTATGTTTGCTGACAGGGCTCTACAGTGCGACCATTTCAGTCGCATTTGCGACTGAAAACTACTGCGTGCGTCTATGAAAAATGTTTTAGGAGCACCAGTGCGACTGACCCGATCATCATCATACTTGTGATTGCGCTCAGGGGAGCTTCAACGCTTTCTACGTGTTTTTGCAGCGTTGAGTAATGCATCACAGACATATCTCACGAATCCTTTCATAAGCAAAGTGTAGACAGGGTGTAAATAAGAGATTCATTGTGCAGTGTAGAGAGCTTCGTTGATTATAAATGTGAGCTCGCGATGAACTAAGATGAGTGACAGCTTTTAATGATTTTTAAGGGAGTTTGTAAATGTGATACTGATTTAATACAACAGTTCAATAAACAAGAAGTTAATATTAAGTGACTTACATATGTCTAACTATAACACTATTGTCTGATTTTGCTCTATTTTGTCGTCGAAAATAGTTTAAAACAAAGACAGCGGAGCCGCTGAACATCTCCATTCAAACACAGCGGTGTTTCGTTTATGAATGAACGGCCGTTTTTATATGAATCTAATGAGTCAGTGATTCATGATTACCCATTCATAAAGACAGTCACTTGATTAATTCCTGAATGAATCAGCAGTTCGAATGAATCAATTGAATGAATGATTCAGTAATAAAAATCAGTGACTTACCGCCACCTGCTGGCAGTTTGTTTCATTTTTAAAGTATCTTTTCAGTTATTTAAATAATTGAATATTTCTATATTCAAAATTGTATATTTAAAACATTAATATCGTCATGAATTTATGGATTTAATTGCACTCATTCCACTTCTGAGCCTCATTAAATGTCTGAAAGTACACCAAGCCACTTTTGTGTTCTTCTGTGCCACC